GTATCAAACCAGCTGAACTACCCTCAGCACATGTTCTGTTTTCACTCGTGCCACTGCGAAACGAGAATCAATTCTTGCTTTTCACTGGGTGCTTCTCTGCCCAATGATTGCATCAAACTTTGGAACAGTGAGCTTCTTCAGAACATTCAGGGCACGTTCTGGAAACACCCTGAAAGAGAAAATAACATGAAATTAAGCATGAGATAGAAACTTAAATTATGGGAAAAAGTGGCACTGCAGGTGAGGGAAGAGTGGTCTGGGAGCAGAATGCATGCACATATATGGACTGAGACTAAGTCTTAAACTGGGTATTATTTCCATAGAACACATAGCTCTCATCAATCTCTGACTAATTAAACTCCAGTCCCAGCCAAGTCTTGTTAGGACAGTTCCAATGCTGGGTATATGCTGGGCAGTATTTGGGTTGCAATATTGCTGGAGGATCCAGGAAGGCTAAATATTGTACAGATATAGGTGTGTATTATGTGCTTCATGCTCTGAAAAGCAGCAGGCCTAAGGAAGGATGAGATGTTAAAACTGAGGTGCAGTTTCCCCTCCTAGGATTCTTTCTCTTAAGAGTTCTATCTCTCTGTCCCCCTGTCCCAAATTAAGACAGAAAAGCAAAGTTATCCTAAAGGTTTTGACAGCATTAGTTTTGATTTGTCTATGCTTCTGCAGACTTGCACTGTCAGCAAGCAGCTCTTGGAGATGCAAAAAACTGAAAAACTTTTTCCCGCTGTCTGTTGTTGGGTTTTGCAAACAAGATATTACCAAGTGTTTCATGAAATACTAAAGGAGTTAACCGAGACGTTCACTTAGTTGTTCTGATGTAAATTACAGATTTGGAACTTGAGCTCTGATAACAACACCTCCTCAGCAGAGCAGCTACACTGAATATTAAAGATGTGTGAGAGGAAAAATCTTGCTTTACATGGCAGAGAACAATAGAGCCCTTTTAAAGCAAAGTCCCCAGCCTCCATGACCTCAATCTTTGGTGCTGACATGAAGAAACAAACACTAATAAGCAGCAGGTCCTCAGCTCTTTTTGGAACGATGCTGATTCAGAGAAACTGTTGTTTGCAAGCCCAAGGAAAATCATGATCTCTGAGGAAAAGGTGTTCTGTTCTCCCTCTCCTTCCTTACTGGCCTGTAGAATAGTTGAGCTCTTCACTGAGAACAGTTATCTGCAGTAAGTGGATTAGAAGGACCTATGAGAGGGCTCCAAAAAATCTTTGTGTGTGTTCTCATTAGAACCACTGCTATTTCGTTACCTTGTGATGTGTTCTTCTCATACTAAAATATTTTAGATGGCTGGTTGTTTAACACATTATACTCTCTCTTGCAGACAATTACACATTATCTAGTTGCTATAGGCATACTGATGTCAAATCTGGATTAATAAGTATAACAATGTCCAATACTGAATATAAAATAAATGAAACTGGGCTGAATGTAAACTATTTCTGTCCAGCTGTCATTTCAGGGTTTCCCTATGCTGCCAAACTATATCTTTTAATATCATGAGTGCAACATGCAGTTTCCCATAAAATTAAATTTATCTTCATTCAGATGTTACAAGTTTGAACTTCATATACTCAGGTAGTAAGCATTGTTGTTTCCACCCCCACTTTTTCATTTTCTTTTGCTACTTACATTTCAGAAAGCAAAGCAATATTTAGCTGTGGTGGAACAAAAACCATTTTCTGGTTGGTCACTATTCCTTCCATCAGAGCCTCTACAACTTCTTCAGTCTCCAAAATCTTTCCAATCCTGTAAAGAAAAGCACACACGTAAGAGCTGTGGTGGTAGAAAGGGGTGGTACAAGCTTCACAAGGATGCTTCACATATGCACAAACTCGAGTAATTCAAATGCA